ACTTTTTATGAAATATTGTAGCCTTGATGCATTTTAATATTTGCTAAAGATCTGTTTAAATGCTCTTACAATCCGTTTTGATATTTTTTTTTATTTCATTATTTATTAAAATTATTCGATGGAATTAGTAATTTTAAATGTTGTTTGTCATTAATTGTTTGTTAATATTTATTGTATGAGAAATGTAAATTCATTAATTCAAAATTATATATTTCTTAATAAATAACAAATTTTGATGAAAACAACTATATAATGTTTAAATTTAATATTCAGAATTAAAACAAAATCAAAGTCAACATATTTTTTCTGTCTACTTCTGTCTTATTTTCTGTATTTCATTTACAAGTAATAATATATTAAGAGAATGCTTATGTAATTCTATAGACAATTAAAACAAAAATTGTTGTTCTTATTTCTAGAAATTGTAAACTATTAGTTTAGGGACTTTACAAACAAAATTATTATTTAAGAAAATTAATCAATATTTGAAATAAACCAAATAAAATGCTTTAGATATGCTTATTGTGAAAATTTAAAAGAAAAAGATATATAAAACATTGTAGCAGTTAAAGTTACATTGAATTTTGAGTACATTATTCAAAAGTTATCAAAAGTTTGAAATTCTATTTTTTTCTAATTATGTACGAAATAATTAATGGCAAAACAACAAGGTTATCGCTAATAGTTATGCATTAAAATTGAACCAACACGACACATGACATTATTCATGGTAAAGCGTAGATAATATTCTAAGCGTTTCCTGTATAATTCGCTCAACAGATAAAGCCATACTGCGACTATCGCAAAACGCAAACTGTTTCAATGAAAACCGTGATTCGATTCGTGGGGAAATACCAGAAATTTCGGGCCCCAAAACGTTTCGTAATTACATATAAATCATTTATTATGCACGTAAACGAAGAACGTAATTATTGTTTGTCTCGTGCGGTTTATTAACGAGCGTTCAAAATAAATGTAATCACCACGCGATTTACGTAATTCAGATACAAGAATAAAACCATCATCTTATGGATGATAGCGTGTTTCGAAGAAGGAAGGAAAGCAGTTTAATACACGCTAATGATGCTTTGTAATTTTTGTTATTGTTGGTGGGCGACGTAGGCAACCAATCGGTCGTAATTTTTAGTGTTGCACTTACCTTGTTTGTTTGAAGCTGGGGAATGCGTTTGCAACTAAGAGCCGGGGTCCGTTCTGTACGCACTTATATGAGCAATGTTTTGGCTAGCGACATTTTTCTATGGTGTCGTTCGAAGATGATGTTCAAGGTGCGTTGAACTGGACGTGTATATCGAGCGAATGGTGGCACCTTGGATGCAGCAACACCTCTGACCTCGCCGAATCAATTTCAGAAAACATAAATATTTTCGAGCCCGTTAGTTATTTACTGTTGCCTCACTGCACCAAGTGCATGCCATGCCATTCATTTAAGCTATTTAATGATCTTAGATAAACTGATGATGATGATCTTAACCGCTCTGCTCATCTTATACGTATAATTTTGTTCTTCCTCAAGAATTCAACCTGGATCCGCTATCACATACTTCATTTTATTGGTAATAGAAGACGTAATGCGCAAGTTGCTTATCATTAAACATATGGATGACCAAGAAGTATATATTTAAATAAACATTTTAAAATGCATTTTTAATTAATGATAAAATTCTTTCATTCTCATGATAAATAAAATAATGTTACTTTTTAACAAATTGAAGATAATTTATTTGTTTATAAACAGCATTACCTAGCTATAAAATCAAATCATATTTATTACACATATCATAGAATGAAAACATTGCAACAATTTTGCTATTTTTTTTGCTTTAATTTTTGTATAGAATCTAATACGTATTATTTTTTTACTAAAGTAATTACATTCTACTAACATTTACCTAAATTTAACATCTTTCGTAGTTGGAATATGGAAATGTGTTATTATATAATTTTGTTTTAAAGTTTTTATTTGCAAATTATTTTATAAATTTCCTACCGGCTAAAATATCTGTTATTTAAGCTAATTATTTTAGACAAGTTAGTTATAATGTTAAAAAATATTCATAAAATTCTCTAAATTGAAACTCTAAATTTATTACTCCTTAAATATTTGCCGTTTGTAAAACTTTTGAATGAATTTGCGGAAGTTTTGTATCGCCGGATCGATCGTGAACAGTTGAAAAAACTGATTACAGAAATACCTCGCATAGTGCGGGCAATATTCCAAATTGTTTGAATCCGGACTAATGGAAGACTTAAAACCACATAGAAAACAGCACAAATAGAGATTTAACTGTAAGAAGAACTTATTCTTATTACAATCATAAACCAATCATTAATTTATAAATAAAAATTTGTATATTGTCTACTTATATTTTGTCAATTAAAATATATTGTGTTTCGAATGTAATGCTAGTAAATATATACAAACAATTTAGTTCGCGATGAGCTTTTTTAGTACTTTACTGTAGTTTGGTCATTTTTTAACATGGCTTTTGAAGTTCTTAGTTCGTTCTACTCGTTGAATATTTGACAAATTTATGTTTTTCTTTGTGAATTATTTACGACAGCTGATATAAATAATATTTCAATTGAGATCAACAAGTAATGGTAATTATTTTTAAAGATTTGGAATAATAATATGTGAATTGGACAGAAAGACCTGGTTAGGAAAACTAGCCAGTTAATAATAATTTTGAATTTTATTTTTTTTAATTTAGAAGCTTGCATCATACTGATAAAATCTACCACACGGAACTGTAATTATTTTATTTATCACTAATGTAAATAAAACAGTATCTAACCCTATATAATTAATTTGTTTAATAGTTTTATTATAATAGCAATAAACTACGAATATGTAGTAGATTTGAATTTAGATATAACTTTGTAGCTTATTATTCCCTAAATATATAAACTAAGCTGATTGCAAATATTTATTTGTTGTGTTAAGTGAATATTTTTCAATACATGCGAATATCGAGATTCAAGACATTTAAGTGATTTAACCTCTATGCATTCTCTTGCTCAGTTATATGACAATCCGATTCAATTATGACTTTGATTTGGTAGGTCGACCAAGATGTTGGTCTTCTTTGAATGAAAAACAATCTGTTAAACAATCAATAGCATAAACTTCACATATCGCTTCAGCAGCTTTCTTGCCTGTAGTGAAATTTACATAAAAGTAAAATATATCGAAAATGTTCGGCACACCTGTTACAATTGAACCTAAATTTGTTAGTTTGCAAACAAAATTGCATGCAATTGATTCCTAAAGGAAGCCAAAAGTGACATCTTTCAAATGACAAATGGAAAAAATCATAACATTGACAGAAGTCCTTCAAAACTAACATAAATAGATAACATAATGTTATCTATTTATGAAAGCCGAAATTACATATCTGCCAACCCAATATTATTAAATATTAGAAGTATAAGATTTTGGTTTGCCTAAAGACATCGTTACATGTAGAATATATATGTAGATTTTTTCTATTTCGAAAAATATGTCATGAAATCTAGTTGAATATATTATTATTGTTATCGAATGGAAATGTTTAATTTTGTTACGTGGTTGTTGCAATAAAGATTACTATTATTTCAAGAATATTAATGAATAATTATTTTTCTTTCTTAACCCATTTTTGCAGAAACTCCAACAAACAAAAACATTGATTTTATTTAAAAAAAAAACCAAAAGAATACAAAAATTCAGTGTACTCGGCATTTCTTTACAAATCCACCTGATTCTAGAGTGACAACGTAAGGAGTTATCAAATATCCAGTATCAAATTGTATACTCTCAGGGAGTGAAGATATGGCGTGTCTTATTTGATCTAAATAAATAATGCCGTACAATGTATCTTATCTTGTAAATTATAAGTTTTCAACGCCCAACAAGTAAATCATTGATTTTACAAATTGAAAATCAAAAGTACTTCTCACTTATTTCGATAATAGCAACACTTCGGTTGTATTCTTTACCTTTTTCGGGAAATCTTTAGCTATTTCTCACTTGATTGCCAAAAAATCAATAAATACTGCTGTACCTGCTTGGGTACAGTGGGCAAAAATGAGTTTATTTATCCAATCACTTTATTTCATTTACGTTTAAACATAAGGACATTTCATATTTAAATAAATAATAAAAACAACATAGATTCAGTTTTTAATTATCGTTAGTTTATTGGTTTATTTACATACTCATTGTATATTTGTTTTGCAGTGTGCTTGCGATCAAAATTTTTCCATATTTATACATGAAACTTGCTGCGACACATTACAAGGGTAATTGTTTTATTGTTTTTTTTTTTAAATTTTTATAATCATTAGTAATAATATATAGAGAACATTACAAATTACAACTATCATACATAATACAGAAGAGCTCATCGAAAGCATGCCTCGGAATAAATAGAGCCTCCTTCGGGCCCGCGTCTTTCCCAAAAGGAAAGAAGGCAGAGGAAGCGGTTATTTCTTTTCTCATCATTTCAATATTATTATTTTTTCATATTTTTGAAATCTACATCAGCTTAAGATTAATCAGTTCCGTGTGGGTAACTAGCAATCTACGTGTGTAACATTCATGTAACATACATATATAAATCATCATAAATACTTTCGTTTTGGATAATAGTCATTATTATACATCTAAGCAGATCTGGGATTAGTGGAAGAAAAGCACACATCGTCGAAATGCGAAGAGAGCCCTCGTCGCCATGTAAATATGGAGGAAATGTATGCGAAGCTGTCGTCCTCGCGGACGGACTACTTCCCTTATTCTTGTGTAATAATACTTTCTTGAATACATTAAAGCTATTTCGGTCGCTTTCTGCTGAAAGCCTGAAAATAGTTAGTACATACGTACGAAAATAATAATTGAACATAAAAAGAAGACATAGAGAAATAAAATATAAACGAACAAAACGTAATATACATATATAAACTAATACGGTAATATAATAGTAGTAAAAGTAGTAATTAAAACATTATAAATGAACGGAATCGAAAATCGGATCTGGCAAGAGTTGATTCCCTCCACTTGTTGATGTCCGGAAATAAATTAAGTAAAAAGAAGTCTTAAGAGAATTATTGCAAAGTTAACTAAAAAACAATATAATAATATATATATATAAAAAAAACTAATAGTCACTTTGGTATTAGATCAATATGTATAAAGTATTTATAGAGAATTAAGTTAAATAAATTAAGTGTGGGGAGGGTGGATGGTTGGTTGTTTGTTTGATGGGTGCGGATCTTTGTTGGTTGGTTTGTTGCTTGAATGGTGTGGTTTGTGGTTACAATATTCTCTTGATCGTCCTAATCGATGTCCATCTGTCGCCGCCTGCCCTTCTGCTTATCCCGTTTCTTCTTGATGTTTGGCATCACGACGCAGCTGCAGCCGCTGCGGACGCGGATGTAGTCCAACGTCCATCGAGTCTCATTCGGGCCGGAGGAGATTGACGGAAAGTAGTTGGGCCGCTGCCGGTGGTGGTGATGGTGGCGTCCGGTGTCCTTGACGAGGGCATAGGTGTAGCTGTACTTCTGCACGCATCTGGATTGGGCGTGCAGTTTCTTTTCCATAAAACGGCACGGTTTATCCAGGATGTCCTGGTGGCAGGAGAGCTCGTAGAACCGCTGCCTGTTGTTGCCGTCCCTGTACAGCTCGACGTATTGGTCGTCCTGGTTCTTGCCACCCTCCGGCTCCACCATCTCAAGGACTGACGGGCAGCAATCCACGCCGGTCCTGTTCTTGATCTCCTGCTTCAGAAGCACCTGATTCTCGCGCACGGTTAGCAGTTTACCTGCGTCGTCCAGCGGGTTCTCATGCCGGTAGTAAAGATCGTACCTACAACAACATAACAAAATACAATTATCAAATTTATTGTACTTTCACAACACAATACAAATATACATTTAAAGGTATCTATACACTGTGCGTTAATTGACAAACAACATGGATTAGTAATTGAGGTATTAGCATAAATGCCTAGTTACTTGCATGATCTAAATATACAAGGTATGAGACCCTTCTGTTTGGGAACTGTATGTTGCCTCATATTGAAAACTGAAGATTTTGAATACTTCCCTTCAAGCACCTCTTACGTTATATGTAAATAAAGCATATAGGTAAAATCTTACTTTGTATACAGTTTTTCGTATTGAATGAAAATCCCGAAACTTGATTAGTACTTGTATAAGCCAAGTATATAAGCATCTTAACACAATAAATGGGAAGCTTTGTAAAACACTAAACTAAATAAATTATTTTAATGACAAAAAAATGATTGTTTTATCATATCCTAACCATATTTCTTCACTTCAGTTTTAGAACTAATTGACTAATATAAATCAAAATGGACACATTTTCAGGAGAAACTGGGTCATTTTTATTCATTAATTATTTTTTTTAATCTGAATATTTTAATACAGACATTCCAAACAATTAACATTAATATCATATAAGTTACAAATATTGTTTATAATAACAAGTTGTCTAGGTTTAAGAGAAACTAGTAAATTTAAAAAAATAGCATTTGCCTTAAAATAATAATAAGTGATATTTTCTATATATTTTGTTGTTATACTTGTTATAAATGTTCCAACATTGGAATTTGCAAATCATACGTTGAATCTTTGAGTACCCAAGAAACTAGTTATAATTAGTTCAAAACAATCAATTATATCACACGCCTTGCTAAAATCACTGCGAATTATATCAACTTGACATTGATTAACTACCACTCGTGATTGATATAAACTGCATTATATAAGATTAGTTCGATATCTTTCAAAGATTATTTGCATAGTTACTCAGTTTCCTATAAACTGGAAGAAATTGAACATGATTGAAATATTATAACACAGATTATGAATCATGAATGAATAACTTGGAACGTTTTCAATCTAACATATTTCGAATAATACTTAATTTAAGTAACATAATCATGTTTTATTTTTAAAACTATAACGTTAAAGAGAGAAATTGTAATTATAATTTAATCAAATAATATGTTCCGCCAATATTCTGGACTATTTGAAACCGGACTAATCAAGGACTTCAAAACCGTATAAAAAAGAGACTTGATTTTAGATATAAAAAATGATCATTTATATATAAAAAAATAAATATTGGGTACTATTTTCTTAGAACATCTTTTAAATTCCTCAAATATAATTTAGTTCGTTTTGAAATTGTCAAAAGTAAAACAAATCTTGAAGGCGAATGAAATTCATGCTAGTTTTACTAAAAAATGTGATTTTGTTTTTAAATAGTAATTTGTATATCATATATTAAAATACTTCTGACCAATAAATTAAGTTTATTATTAAAAAATGAACATTTACTATACAAATGCCAATTTCATTGAAACTTATTGAAATTTAAGTACAGGAAGCATAAATTATGTTTTCATTATTTGTGATGAATACTATAGTAATTTTGCAAATGAAAACGATTTATAACAAATTTTAGACAAAACACATATTACATAATATTATTATTGCACATGTATTTTTATGTATTCAATGAATTAAAGTTATATTATAATATAAAAATGAAATTCATCAAAGTCTATTTTTAACATAATTGGTAAATAATAGTCTATTAATTTAAAAATTAAATTATTTGGTTTATTGTTAAATCAATTTCGCTTAATCTTTATGTTTGTGTTTGATCAATAGCAGTGGGAAGTTACAGCAAAACACGATAAGTTCCACAAAGAACAAATAAATTTCATTCATACAAGTAATTGTAAACATAACAGATCTGAATCTAAATCAACTATGATATTTGACAAATCGTTTGCAATTGCAGCCGCTTGTTGCTTAGACATTTTAATTGGCGATTATCAGAAATCAGCAACGCACTCTGTACCAGTATTTTAATAATATAATAAACGTCCGAATGATGCAAATTTCCATCGAAACACAAGTTGTAAATATCAGTTCTTAATTGCTTCTCAGAAAATATTCATGAGACTGGATTGGATTCAGTGAAACTAAACTAAATTTAAAATATCTTTGCTGTCAAATGCACCGAGCACACAGTCGCATTTAATCGGAATACGTAATGCTGTCAAGACTGTGCCATCAAATGTAGTTACGACATTCTAATCTCGTAAATCCGTTAACATAATAATCACTAGTCTTTAATTATTGGCTATAAATTGTTGATTTAATTAAACTGTGCTATATGTAATTACTGTCACGTTTAGATTGTGCTATATGGATTTAATGTCACATTTCCTTCTCAAATAAGAAAGGTGTCCTTCGAGTGTGCATATTGTGAAAATGTGTGTGGTATTGAGTCTCTATTATTGTGAGGTAAAAGGTACTGGTCACTAAATAAAACAATTTTAGAAATTTTACAGATTAACTAGGAGAGATATAATGGAAAGGTATTAATACGTTCTATTTAGGAGATTAATGTTGCTCTTTGCTTTCCATGAAACAACCCTTTTACACGGGCGGCAGGATTAGGGGCGGTAGACCTTTGAAGCCTACGATATTCTACAGCTAATTGTACAGTTATGTAAAGTTCACTTTACACATCATTAAATATATCTGTTATTTTGTATCTTCTCGTTAAATCATCAGACGTTCAGAAAATATTCGTTTGCTTCTGAGTAAAATATCCAAAGAAGGTATGGAAAGATCTATTTCAAATTTGAATACTTCAAATGCTTGGATTTGGTACATCTATTAGAAGTATCTTGCTTTCAAGTTACTTTGATTGTCGGCATTTGTTGGGAAGTTTTTCGAAAGAAACTTGTTATCTTGTCCATTTGCATGTATTTTTTGACTGTCTGAAGTATCAAAACTAATATTTTCTACTGAAGTAACAAATTAGTAATCAAACATTTATATTATACCAATCAACAAATTGAATACTATTATTATTTTAAGACTCTTAATTGAAAACAACAAAAAAATCCTTATTAATTTATTTATTTATTTGTTTAGTCCGGTTTCGTACAGTACGGATTTTTTTCGGATCCAATTAGCCGCACAAACCGAGGTTTTACTGTATTTATTAACAGTAAAAACGACATCGTGAATAATTTGAAATTAAATAAACTTCAATTAATCAATATTTAATGAATTTGTTAATTTCTTTCAAGAGAAACGAAATAATAATTTATATTTAGTTGCGTTATATATTCTTAGTGTAACATAGTTTCTTTATACACAATATACATCTAAAGTAAATTAATCAAATCTTTTTAGATTAAGTATTAAGTCGTATAGTTTTCTCAGTTGTTCTAAAACCTAATTTATTAAGAGAGTTACCTCGTTTAAAACTGTAATTTAGTGTATTCCAATTGCTTCAGTGAATATATTTATAATAAGTTCTTTTAGATATCTAAAGTTCAAGTAATTGTTTTACTTCTAATTATATACATATTTTTCATAAATAATAAGATAATCGAAAACGGGAAATCAATGTTTGTTTTCTCTATGGACAAATGAAAATAACTTTAATGTGAAGGAAGATTCGATCTGAGGGCATGCGACCGAAAAGTACGGTGCGTCGATTATCCGTCTGTCGTGAGTCGAAGCAATTGTCGAGGTTCGCTCGTCCAACAAACTAACAACTAAGAGATGGGAGATGATTGAGTCGACTTACCAATCGTGCATTTTATGATTCTTCTTGAGATTGTGTCTGGCCTGAGAAATTGAGTCGTTATAATTGTGTTCGTAGGAAGCGACCGGGCAAAAAATAGCGGCTAAGCTAAGCACCTGCAACAGAGAGAAGAACAACATCCAATTAACACCTCAAGATACAAAATATAGGAATCGTACAAAATCGTGTGCGGCCAGATCAATCAAATGGACGACCTGTCAATAACACATTACCATTAGATGTAACATAGCAAGCAGATTCCGCTCGGATTCGGAAAGAATTATCCCGAAAGATTCTCTTTCATTATTATTGGTACCCATAAAACGGAGCGGTAAACTGGATGGCACGCAATTCACTTAACACTTTCCATTCGCGTATACCGTTGGATCTTTTATATGTAGCTCTTCACACTCATTCCCCAATTTATGGGTGCATACACAGATTGTTTTACAATCGATTAAAAAAACGAAAGTGATGTTAAAGTAATTCCGAAGTTTATCCTGTTTGTGTACATTCGCGCGTTTCCTTCATCCAGACTAGAATCCGAACAAGTAGTTTGACCTAGGCGAAGAGGTAGGTGTCTTCAGTGTACGCACTTCGTTGACCCGTCGAGAGACTTATGTGTCTGTTTGTCCAATGCAAAATTGATAGCAGTACTGAAGTACCCGAATGGGGGGGCACTTGTACTTTGTGTGTATGTCTAGCGGCGCCTCATGTGCCGATGTAGAAAGGGGGATGGACCGCACGTCCCATCGGTTTTCCTTCCAGAGGAACAAAAGAAGGACATCTCTCTTATTTTTTCCCGTTTCTGTGAGGGTGGCGTTCACGCCCTACGCAATAAAAACCTGCTAAATGTTTATTTGACAAAATAAAAAGAAAATAGTGTCCGAAACCATAACGGGACAACGGAAAGTGAGCATGCTTCAATGCGTTAATAAATACCCACTAGAGGAGCGACAATTTGCGGAACACTTGGAAACCGGAATTCCGCGAAGACACAAATTTCCATATTGACACAAAAGGAAGCGCACTTCACGGACAATTCAGTATTCAAATATCGAGAACTTTACGAACCACATTTCTTACTTTACAGCTTGTAAATCTTTTATGTGCGGTAATAAGAATTATACTGTAGCAAATCATCTTCGTTCTACTTAAGTGCCCTTTTAAATGTAAGGCAATTAGGCAAATTCAAGTATTCCATAAATCAATTCTTATTTAAAATGTTAGTATAATAAGATTTTTAATATATTTCGATCAATAATTGCATTATATTATCTACGTTTTGATAAATACATATAATATTATTATATAATACTTGACTTTAGTTACTATTAATATTTTTATATACGATGGACTTTCTTTTTCAGTTTGATTACCAAATATGGTGTCCAATTAACTGTAATTGATCTTTGAATGATTGTGAGAATAGATGCACGTTATCGTAAAATAAACAAACCGAAGTATTTGCATTTCCCGTAAAACAGGCATAGATTATGGTGAGGAAACCAGTTGCTAAAAGAGACATCAGACTGTCCTGGAAACAGAGACGTTAAGCGTCTCCTCGTGGAGAGAACGAAGAAATGAGAAACGTCCCCGTGATGAATGGCCGATGATAAATATTAGTATTAGCGAGCTAGTTGTTGCCCAATAGGAAGGAACGCATGTTGGACGTCAAGAAGACAAAGTAGAAAAAATGGCACTTGATGCAGTTATTAATCGCCTACATGGGGCCCCATGGGAATTTTAACAGATTGCCGCCTTTACGTCTGCCTAACGACCTCTCACTCTTTCACATGCGATCCCGCTGTATCTTCACTCTGTCTCGCCCCTATTTCTACTCGTTTCGCAGAACATTTGCAACCTACATTGTTTTAGATGAATAATGGCAGGCTCTTAAATTTGTCCGTCGCCATGGAGAGGATGTCAAAACCTAACAAACAAAAGCAGACGAACAAAAAACAAAAGTGATGGAAGCGGCGTACAATGCCGACCAGACGTAAACTGTTAGACGGCATTGCGATTTAAAGCCGCCCCGGTCTTTAGTTATTGGATGTCACGGTATAACATGTAAATATACATATGTATATAGATGGATATAGTTGTATGTCCACGTGGGTTTTATTGCAGGACTTTTCCGCGTTTCGCCCGTGACAACGTAATACCACGGAAGAGATCATCCATCCAGTCCACCGGACACTATGTATAATATCCGCACATCAAAACCTACAGATTAGCATCTGAAATATTAGCAAGTCATTCGGATTAATTCGCGCATCGAACGTGTTTGTTCACTCTGTCTCCGGTTTTCAAATTAATAAAACATTGTATCACATAATATGTGTCCGCACTTCGGAAACTCTTCTAATCTACTAGATTTACTTCATAAACTAAACCTTCATTATTCTTTTACATAGAATTAATTGTTTAATAAAAATCGTCGAATTAGTTTGCAAAGTGGGACTATATGTGGAAAAATATACCATACTTTTTTCAATATATTATTTTGTACTATGAAAAAAGTAGAAACATTATTATTTAAGTTAGTTATATGTTTTTTTTAATTGTCTTTTTGTATACAGAATTACCTTGGACTGTTCGAAAGCGGACTAATCAAGAACTTTAAATCAGATAAAATATATGTATAATTAAGAATATGTACTTTATTTTATGAAAGTGAAAAAAAATCTTACATTATTAAGTTTGTTTGAAGTTTTTTGTCTTTAAATTAATAAATCATTGTATCTAATAATATATGTCAACACTTTGGTAACTCTTCTAATCCACCAGATTTTATACATAAAGAAAACCTCCATTTATCTACTTTATTATGCTTGAAGAGATCATATTACAAATAACTATATGTTGTAAATTATTTTACATCCTCGGCACGGCATAATATTTCATCATTCTAGTAAACAGAGAAATATAGAAATAATGTGTGTTAAATTGAACAGATGATTTACTAATATAAAATATGACTATAGAATAAAAATATAGCATTAAAACTAGTTATTGAGCAAATTATGACTAATAAATAATTGAATTTATTATATTATAAAAAAACGATAATTATTTTGAACACTGTAATTAATCAGATAACGAATATTTTTAGTATATTATTATACAAAATACAAAATATATTTTCTTATAATTACATTATTTCATAATCCTCAATTTGAAAATCAATAATTCGAATCTATAAGTAATTTTTACATATATTAAAATTTGTCAAATTAAAAATGAACCTTTTAAATATGACCTGAAACAAAACTTTCGAAGACAATAAATAACTACAGTTTCTGGAATTTAGGGATAATTGGCGAAGCGTAGAAGTGCGCACCATTAAGTTGCTTAAATCTGGAGATTTATAGGGTCTGGGTCTGACATGGAGCGAGAGGATGTGCGTCTGGAATGCACCAGCTATTTTCGCGTAGAAGAGACGAAAGGACAATCGACGATAAATTCGGTGATGAACTTTACCCGATTGCCACAAGGACAATTTCGAATTCCCGACTCGAGATTTGAGGCGATAAACGGCCGAAGGGGAACGGTAGCTACAACAACCTACACAAAGACCAATAATGCTTAACAATTAAGTATCGGTTCAGCGTTATGTAAATAGGAACTACCGCAACAGAACGCGCGTACATACAAATACGTACTTAGAGCAGCAACATTCCTTCGGGCTGTAAATTATTAAGAAACGAATGGCAAATGGGAAAATGCACAATAGTCCGAACGCATAAAGACATATTGATGTTCGTTGCCCATATCCAGCGACCATCAACAATTCTATTCGATCGCTTCGATTTTTAGCAGCAATTGAAGAAGTTAAGAACCAATTACAAATTCAACCAAAAAGTCCACGAAACTCTCAATGAAAAGTTAAAAGCAAACATACGAGATCACAATCGGAATAAGTTTCGTAAACGCTTTCAGTAATAATGAAACGGATCATTATTTAATTGAAATTAGGTTGCTTAAATTATAGCCATTTGCCAATTAATGGTTTCAGATTATAAATCACGAACGTTTAATTAATTGCCTCCCCCCTCGCGCCGTTTACATAAGTTGCGTACATTAATTTGTTAATTAGGCAACCGAAAAAACGAAATCCAAGAAACCGGCGAATCGCGAGCGCTCGAATGTGACGCGTGTTGCATAAGCGGCGCGCCGTTATGCAAATCCGCGATCGTTTTCGCGCTACGCGTTTCATTCATCCGTCGATTATCAATCACGGCAATTATAGCGCCATGATAATAATATATAATTATTATTGCGGTCGGCAATTAATTCGAGTAATTGAATACGTCGGATAATTGGCATTTACAGGAATTGGCGTTTGTTCGCGACACCGAGATTTCCTTGACTTTACGTTTGCACCATTGGAAAGATACAATCGAACGATAAATACTCAGCAACTCCTCTTTAATTCCTCTAGAGCAGTGGTTCGCAAACTGTTAAATCCTTTAAATCTACTCAACTTCTTCAGAAGATAGTAGAGATGAATAACTTTGAAGACCACTACTATAAAACTAAACTTATACTAAATTATAATTGTAATAAAATATGATTAATTATATTTATATAGACTCGATATTATATTGTAAATCCGGTAAAATAGACAAAATGAGTCATAGTATCAATGTACAGAAATATGTGGGATCACAGTTTAGAACCGCTGCCCTATTAATTAAAATTCCAAACTATAACAAATATAAGAACATTATTATATCACCAATACCAAACTACACTAAGCCCATCTAATTAGGAATCGTAGCTTTTTTCTAAAATATGTAAAGCTAGGCTACTTATTTGATGATATTTAGAATACTATATAAAATCTAGCAAACGAAAAAACAAAGCAATTCGAATACCTTACAATATTATTGTAATTTATACCAATTTTATCCATCAATTAAGAACTAATTTAGAAAATGTTCATATTTAATATGTTTTAAGTCTTCAACGAATGACATAATAATATTGAAAAAAAAGCTATACAAGCACTCGAGTGCATATTACAAATGTTGTATTGTGTTTCAAGTAACTTTAGCAGTGACTGTTAAGTCACTATCATTGTTTGTACATTTTTATTACAAATTGATCTTTA